CTATGTTTATAATTACGGACCTCCCCGTGGAAAAGCTGGTCAAAGGGTGCGTCGCGAGCTTTGGCCAGGCTTTGCCCGAAGACGCCTTGCTTTCTCGTATTGCCTTAATGTCGATCCTCGGTTTTCCTGATTTTCTCTTTATTTATTTATTTCTTTTTTTTTACTTTTTTCTCTTTTGTTTAAAGTGTTCGAAAGTGTTTGCCAGGTCGAAAACCCAGTCGTACCGTGTCTAGAAACCGAGCTTCGGATTATTTGTTTACCCTGGATCAGAAGATTTCGTGCTAAAAATCCAATTTCCCTGCTACCGACAGTTTTTCACAGTTCGCCCCCCTTCTGCATTTCCGTCTCGCGTTCGTCTTTGTGGCTGATTTCCAATCCTGTCGCTTACTATATTATAGGAAATACGTCTTTTATTTCTCTTCTTCCTTATTTACCATTATTTTATTTAACTGTCTAGATACTTCAATTCGCTATACTTCCGACGTTTTGCTCATCGCTTATTATTTTTCATTTTTTTTTTTTTTTTTTCAACTGGGATTATCATTTACCATTTTACGTGGTTTACCCTGTGTAGAAACGTTAGCGATCGATCGACGGGACACCGTGAGACGAGCCACGAGACGAACGATCGATTTATTAGTCCAGGATGAAACTTTCTTTCGACGCCCGAGGTTCCTCGGGCTCCCGCTCCCGCGGCTACGCCCCTGCCGCTGTCCCGCCAATCGGGTCTCGCCCATCGCGAAATTTGCGTGTGTGATTGCGTTTATTCTTTTTTTCCTATATTCGCTTCGTGAGGCAGGGAACTTGGTCCTATGTGGGATGAATTCGAATAAGAAAGACGAGAGAAAGTTGTGGGACCGAATCGCGAGTTTCGTAGCATCGTTTCGCGTGTACCTTTCGTTCCATGAAATCACGCCATAAACCCGCGATCCTTTCCCCTATTTTTTCCTGTCGTCCCGTTTAATCCTACGTTTCATTCACGCGGGACTAAACGTGTTCGGAAGCATCGAAGAAGAAACCGCCCATTTTGCTGATCCTATACCGTCGTCTCTTTCTCTGTCCCAATCTCTCTCTCTCCCTCTCGCGCGTCCAGTCATGGCGTCCTCGCGCGATCGCAAAGTGGGTAACGCGACTCTCCGACGTTACCGACCGATACAAACGACAGTTTCTCGTGCATACGAAAAAGATTTGATGCAATTAATATTATGATGATTTATTTATTTTTTTCTTCACGTTCGAACGCCGACGATCGTGTGTTCGTCTGCCTTATTCTCCGCCCGGTTCTCCACCTCCCTGTATTCGTCTCCCATTTTCATCATTGCTTTTTTTTCTCTCTCTCTCCCTCTCCTTCGCTACGGGCAGTGCCATATATTTACAATATATCGTATAAACGGAGCCTGGCATGTACGTATTTCAGAATCAATCTAACAAACTTTTTTTCCTTTAACTAGATAACGAGATTTGCATTTTTTTTTATTTTCGCTTTGCCATTTTACCTAGGGCCGTACACGTCTAACACCGAGACAACTATCTTGATATGAGTTTTCCATCTCTCCAGTATCCCTTTATTACACACGTCGCAGCACACAGAGCACGCGCACAGAACGCACAAGGTACGTACAGAAAATCGAAATTCGTACTCCAACGCACACATACGCACACATATGCACACGTACTTACACACTCGCGTAGACAGCTTCAACGAATTCACGCACGCGGAAAAAATCACGAGAAAACACGCGCATACTCCAATTACTCTTTATCTTATTGCCTAGATCATCGTCATCGTCATCATCATCATCATCATCATCTTCGTCTCAAAATTTTCATTTTTTTTTTTTTTTATTTAGGAACAGTCCCCTTCGAAAACGTTTACAACGAGGCGTTTCAGCGGGAAAAAACGAAGTGGGGGAAAAAGGAAGACAGAGTGGAGGAATGGGGGAAACGGAAGGTGGAGGGGGGAGCGGACACAATACTCAAGTAACCTCAGTCTTCGGCATCTTCCAACGAAAAGAACGGAGAAAGGAATAGGATCATCAGTTAACCAACCGTCGTTAGGGCGCGCCACGCGGCGGACGCGCCGATTTTCCCTGGATCAACGATCCACGATCTCGATCCAGCGAAAGCCGCGCGCGGTCCGGGCGACGATAATAAATATAACCAACGAACAAACGCGCTATAATGATAGCGTCGGCGTGTCTCTCGGCCGCGAGGTGCCCGTCGATCGTACATCTCGATCTTCGACGATCTCCAAACGCGAACACGAGCCGATCGCGAACACGTCCCTGCGACCTCGTCCGTTTCGCCGATTTTTCCTTCATCTCGCTATCTCAACCCCGGTCTCTCGCTTATTTCTCTCACCGCGGAACACAGGTCGACGCGTATTCGCGATCGGCGGGATCGTGCCACGATCTTTGAAATCAGGTTTAACGTCGCGCCACGCGAAAAACAACACGGCCCTGGAGGACGGGGGCCCCGCGACGGACACCTCCGGCCCGCGATCGCCGATAAACCTAAACAACTTTGGCATCTTCTTAACCACGTAAAACATCATCTCGATAATAATTTAATAATACGGAGTTAAGGGGAGGGGGGAGATAAAATAATGAAGACGGCGCTTACAGTCGCTGTAACCGCGTTAATAATAGTGGCAATGAATAATAATAATAATAGTAATAATAATAATAATAATAGAGTCAATAATCGTGTTAATAATGACAATAATAATAATAATAATAATAATAAGCAATAATAGAAATGGTAATAATAATGTAATAATAATAATAATAATAATAATAATAATAGACAATAAATGTACTATGATACATTTTACATAGGATCGAGGCTAGAGCTTAGAGTCTACTTAAAACGCAGCGCACACTTCCGGCTCACGCTGTACACCATTAATCGTTACAAGTACCCGCGGTATCCTAATCATCGATACGTGAGCGAATCGGGGCCTTCTCGGGGGGGGTTCGGGGGGCTGGAGGTGATTTCGAGTATCGATGTTTCGCGTCTATATACACACAGAGGATAATCGTCGTCGAGGTCGCCCACGCGACTCCAAATCGCGGAATAAAGGAAAAGTAGCCCGTGTGTCGTAACTTTTCGTGCTTTTTGCCCCCACTCCTCCTTCCTTTTTCGGTCTCGGGAAACGCGAGAGAGTGGACCCACGGGGACCCCGTGGCGCGGTCCACGGGTAGCCCTGGTGCGCCGGTGGCGACCTCGTCGGTGCAATGTACAAAAAGATTCCCCCTCCGCCCCTGTGGATCGCTCCACGATCTTCCTCGATATTTGCGCCTAACATTATACGTACGGAGTGGTTTGCAGGTTGCTCGTGTCGCATGACGCGATGCGTGTACACGTATTATAGAGGTGCGCACCGGTTATCCACGCACGTACATCACGTTACACGGTACGCGATAATATCTCTATCGTTATTAAATAAATAATCTTCAAATGCGATAATAAAGTTACTATGTTCATTAGCCTATGTATAATATTTATATTCTGTATAACTCTCCTCTGTATCTCGCGATTTATATTTATTTATATATATTTATATATATATTTATATATTTATACTCTTTATATGTATAGATATATATATATATGTTCATATTTATAATGTCTTTATTTATAACTATTTATAAGGATATACTTCTTTAAATAGCTGTGCTGAGACTCGCAAAGTGGTAACCATTCGTTCGTTTCTCTAGTTCCATTAAAGTCGCCATCGCGCCTCGCTCCTCCGCGCGATCTTCCTCATCTAGAGGACCCTGTCGAGGCCAGTGTCTCCCTCGCTTTTATACATTCATGTACACTGCACCATTGCCGGGACCGTTTCCAGGTCTTGTCGATCAGCTGGTTCCTCGTTCGCCGACCTACCGCCTCTCCCAATCCTCAGAGGCGACCACGGACAGTTGACCAAGGCAGATCCTCCGGGGTACATGGACCATCCTCACGCGTACCATGTC